GTGTTAGAGGGTCAAATATAGATGGAAGAGATGTGTTTTTAGCTGTTTCTTGAAGATGGCTAAGGACTCAGCTGCTCGAATTGAGTTGGGCAGGTCATTCCACCAGGAGGGAACAGTTTATGTAGAAAAAAAGCCTAATTAAGATTATACTGTATATGTTTATGAAACTTTATGACTAACCTATAAATAATGTTGAATGGGTGTTTGCTGTGCATCAAAATGCAACACATGGTCAAAGAACAGATGACAGAGAATAACATCAGTGTAGGTTGCAAAATGTTTATTAGGCCACTGATATGGTGGTGAATGTTATTTCATTCATTGCCAGAAGATGACAGTTTTAAAACTTAAAAGGTAACAGAAGAGCATAAAAATAAATAGTTGAAATGGTAGTTGGATCTGCGCTACTATTGGAAACCTGTAGCTGTAATCATCCAGGTGTTCTGGGATTTTTGGTTTCACTGTGCAAATGGAACCATAAACCTTGTGATAATCTTAATTGGTAAATTTACATTTGTTTGTAAAAATGTTTAACTATTTTACATTGGAAACATTAAAAAAGAAAGAAATTTCATCAACATGTTTTTGCAGCAGTGTATGATTGTATCATAGTTTACAACCAGACAGCAGACAATTCACAACCAGACAACATGGAGAATGTTGAACGGGGTAAGTTAAGACCTGGATCATCACACACCAGTATACAAAAAGATATACATAGGCCTAAATGTCCACAGATACGTTTATATAGGTTTATTTCATTTGTTGCAGGTAGTAATGTATTCAACAAATGATAACAACTAATAACAGACAGTTTTAGAGCATCGCAAGCTACAAATGGAGAGCACAAAGAACTGAAATCAATGTATAGGCTACAACTAGCTGAAGTTTGCTGTGCTTTATCCTAACATTACACAAAGAATGCCTGCAATCATTCAGTCAGGGACGACTGCACACAACGTGCACTGTAAACTAATAAAAACATTATAAACTGTTAGGAAATAATAAACAAATGTAGTTTGTGCAACACTGTAAATATATTTACCTTTTTAAAAATATAAATATATCCCATTAAACCTGCTGAGATACAAGGAGCGTGAACTGAAATTCTCAGTTCCACCTTGTTCCACGCGCATGTCCGGGAAACTCATGAATATTCATGTATGCCCCGCCCACTGAAACAGAAAATCTCGGAAACCGAAAATCTCGTAACACCGGTGTAGTGCCGAAATTTGCACCCTGCCATATTATGCGCCCCCTAGTATTGGTAGGTTTAGGTTTAGGTGTGGGGGAGGGGTTAGGATTAGGGGTGGGGTTGGGATTAGGCAATCAAGTAGCGACTTCAACGAGGGGGTGCATAATCTGGCAGGGGTGCAGAATTCGGCACAACACCGGCCCACATTGAAAATGAATGACTTCCGGCCACTTTGACGCTCTCGACGGCGGCGGTGTGAACGCACAGTAAGGGTAATCTATATTATTACATATATCTCTGTATGAAACATAGACTTTATTCAGTGCACAGAAAGATGAATATTTAAATATATATATATATTCACACTCTTCCAGCTAGGGTGAAGTCATTATGTACATTAACAACGATGTGAGACAAATATAATGCACTTCACATGCAGTGTGCGACCACCTTTAAACGTATTCTTCTGTATCTTGCAACCAACTTTAATATTATCTTAATAATAAACATTAATATAGTGTTGTGCAGCATCACCGCACATCTATAAAAATGCTTCTTTCTGGAAGGAGTGAAATCTCAATCATCAAACTACCAGCAGTGAATACATTTTTGGGGTGGCAACCGGCGTGACCGGTTGGTTTGCACAATCAGATGCCATGGGTGTCTTGAACCATGTTTTGTTGTTCTTTCCCCCACATTTTGCAAGTACAAACAGGAAGACAGCAATAATTAAAATGAAACAACAAAGGTTGAAATTAAAATTAAAGGGCATCACAAACATATGTTAAATTCATGCTAACTTCCAGGTTGGCAATAAAAAAAAGGCAACATCATCTTTGTAACACTCTGAGTGTATTGTTGATACATTCTGTGTATTTTATGCAATGTCAACTCTGTAGTTTTTAGATTATTATTATTATTATTTTGAGATTAAGCATGTAGGTTTTATGACAGGTTTAGATTACATACAGGTTTAGGTTACATTTCTATTCCATTCATACTGTAAAAAGACCACCGCTGGCATCTGCTGATGAACTTTATTCTTTATTGTAGTTCCCCCCACTATGACAACACAAAATCAGCATGGAGACCGCCGGCCGCACGCGATCTACCCTGTAGTTACAAATCTGGCAGCTCTGCTGAGACAAATCATTCTATTTTCAAGGTGTTCTGCATAAATGCAAAGTAAGTGATAAATCATTGCTTTTAGGCTAATAGTTGCATATTTTTTGCATGTTTGCTAATACGCCTGCTTGAAAAATGTGCATAAATCGATATTTGTATATTTCGACTAGTTTTTACCCGTTTATAATGTTATTCTCTTAAAGTTATCGTTCATATGTCATTTTTATTGTTGGGTGTTTATGAAATCTGCAACTTTATGGCTCAAGTAAACAACATAGTTTGCGCATGCTCAGTCCAAACCTGATTACATAATTCTCAGTTTTCATTTATTGACAGATTGCATGCTTATTTCAAGTGATTATTAGAAACAATTTGTAATGTATTGTTCTTTCTGCTTTAATAGAAAACTACAACATCTCTGTATTGTAGATACGAAGCGCTCGTGCACTTATAATGATAAATCATTGTTGACAATAAACAGGTTATTCCCAGAATGCAATAGTCTTCTCACTGCAGTTATTTATTATTAATTTATTAATAATCATTCATTATTTATTGTCGTTTTCGAGTAAATATCTGAACAAGTTTAAGTCTCACACAATACCAACAGCTAAATAGTCATAAAAGTCATATTAATTTTAATTATAACCTAATTATAATATAATTAACCTAAAGTCATATACATTTTTTTCATTGACCCCAAACCACAATGGCAAACTGGTGCAGCTTTATTGTCAAAGTATGACACCTAGTGGTTTTAAATAAAACAACAACACTTAACTGTAAATGTCACAAAAAAACAATAAATAAAAATATTTATTTCTAAATACAATATTAATCGACCTGGTCTGTTTTTTTGTTTTTTTTGTCCTTTTGTTTCCCACTTCAGCAGCTGTCCTACTTTTCCGTTATTCACCCTATTCTCGAAAACTACATTATTATCACGCACAGTTTTTCCTTCTCAAGTAAATGTACCTTGTTTTAAGGATGTTTACATATTTTACAGGTAACACAAATATACTCATATGTGTGTAGACTTATTTGCAGTGCTGTGCTCTTGCCTTTTCACCTAACCAGAAATGGCTATGCTGGGTTTGTTTTATTAAAGATGGACTTTAATTGTGTGTCTATGGCATGGACAGCCATGTGAGACAAATGTAAGATGAATTCTAGCAGTATCTAATTAAAAATGTGTATGCAGGTAGCCAAAGAGATAGTCAAAACAACAGAGTGCCAGTCGCAGGCACCACGTGATGAGACTCTGGCTCATATGACACTTATTGTTCCCTTTTGGGGACAGGATTCAGTTGCATTTACACTTGAGGTTTAATTACAGTGCAACTGAGCCAATGCACCATAAACATACTAACCATTTACGCCAAACCTTTGGGTCTCTGGCTTCTTTCCTGCTCTACCTGATCTTCAAATCCCTTGCAATCAAAGGACACCAACCTCCTTGACAAACCAGTTTTTGTGTTTTTAGTGTTACATATAATTCCAGTGTCTTATTTTGACTGCTTGCAGCAATATGCTAATAGATTTGACAGCTTTTAATGGAACATTCTTGCTTTTGTTCTTGTTTTAATCAGCTGAAACTCATAATGCATGATATTTTTTACTCAGTCATTTAAATATCAGTATATCCCCAATTTAAATGCAAAGCCACTAAAAGCAGAATCATCATGCCCTTCAAACATCTTGCCTTTTGAGCCAAGTGGACTTCAATATTGCATAATTGCTGTAGGCCAAAAAATGAGTTTGATTGTGTACAAAAACATATAACTGTACAAAGATTTATATTAGTATATAGTTTATATAACACTGCTAAGAGTGTTTTGTTTTTTCCGGTCATGTCATATCTCACACAGAGCAGCAAGTGAGCGTACAGTAAAAAGCAGTGCATGTGTGTGACACCCTGAAGCAAAATACCAGTGCTGCATTCCTTTAGCACATGCATGTTTATTATACTCTTATATATGCTTTATTTTAGATTATTTAATCAGACAGTTAGTGTTTTACTGTAAAGAATTGAATATAGCATTTTGTATCAACCATATACATCTACAAGACAACCTTAAACAAAATTGAACATATGTTTGAAGATTTAACCATTTGACTAACCCTGTGATAGAGAGAGGCCCATGGAATAATTTGTAACTACATTTAGGTAAAAAAAACAACAACAACAAAAGTTTTTTGCTGTTCAGCGTGATTTTTTTATGTTCAAGGACTCATGCTTCTTGTGTTTGAACAATTACAGACAAATCTGAAAAAAATATCACGCATGTGCTTTAGGAAGTTATAGGATGAGGCTATACTGTTAGCATGATGTTAGCTCTAAACTGCTGGATGATACCGAGCGGCAACCTCCCGCTCTCTCTCGTGAAGCCAACAAGGAAGTGACTTAAACTGTAATTCATCAACTGGCCGCTAGAGGCTGGCTGCAAAAGGGAGTCAATCCCATAGACTCCCCATGTTAAAATGCCTAACATTACAGCAGAAAAAAACATGTTTACAGCCTGGTTCAAAAAATGATTTTGGTCTATATAGCTAATTTAGCCCTTCATGACAACTGTGAGGTGGGTGAATTTTTTTATAACTCATCCGCTTAAATTATATTAAGCCTTAAAGTTTACTTTTGAGTAAACTTTAAGTGACAGTTAAAGTCACTTGAGTGACAGGTGGATTGCCGCTGCCGTCACCACCGTCGAGCTAGGTGGGCGTGGCTTCACTCTCTCTTGTGAAGCCAACAAGGAAGTGACTTAAACTGTAATTCATCAACTGGCTGCTAGAGGCTGGCTGCAAAAGGGAGTCAATCCCATAGACTCCCCATGTTAAAATGCTCAACTTTACAGCAGAAAAAAAAATGTTTACAGCCTGGTACAAAAAGTGGTTTTGGTCTATATAGCTAATTTTGCCCTTCATGACAACTGTGAGGGGGGTGAATTTTTTTATAACTCATCCGTTTAAATTATATTAAGCCTTAAAGTTCTGCATAATTAAGGGCGTGGCCACTTGAGTGACAGGTGGATTGCCGCTGCTGTCACCACCATCGAGCTAGGTGGGCGTGGTTTCAACAACCAGCTCCCGCCTCTTTGCCCGTCTCTGATTATCCGGGAGTGATGCGCGGTGACGCGCTGCCAAGATGGCGACGGCCGCCTCCGCCCACTTTTGAGCTTCAAAAACTCTCTTCGGGACCCTACGGGTGACGTCACGGACACTACGTCCATGTTTTTATACAGTCTATGGATGATACAAGTTTGTAAAAATGGTCGGAGTGGGGTAATTTGAACCGACAGTCTAGGAGTAAGTTGAGCCAGTGGCTCACCCCTTCTTATAATTATAAAGTATAATTTGACTGTAATTCTACATGATATTTCATTAACTTTAGACCAAACATTTTTGATTTTGTTCTTTGTTTTGAACTTGATTTTGTTCAGAATTTTAAATAGGCCTTGTTTATGAAAATTGGCCATTGAAACATTTATAAGTGGAATGTTGAGTACTATTAGCCTAGTTCTGTAAGGTCAACTGCAGTCAGTTTTTACTTTTTCTCTTCTTTTCTTTTTTAATTCTTCAATTCGAACTTTATTTTGTTCTGAAATTTTTAAATATTTTTAAAAATGCCTTCAAAGTTATGAATTGTATCTTCAAATAAAACTTTTCAGAAGTCATCCATCCATCCATTCTATTATCCAAACCTTTTGTCCCTATTAGGGTTGCTGGGAGTTGGAGCTTAACCCAGTGTCTTGAGCCACGGGTGAAAAAAATCCATGCATGAATGGCCAGTCCATCACAAGACTCACACATAGATTTTAAGAAGTAATTTTTGTTGAATTTCCCTTCTTTTGATATAGCATGAGGTGAAAATATTCACTTTTACTTCAGCATAATCAATGGCACAGTTTAACTCCATGTGGCTCAACTTCCCCCCCCTCTAACTCCCCCCTCCCTTTTTTTTTTTTTTTGGAAAACCATATTTTGTAAGCGGTTTATTTTACATCCAAACTGATTATTCCCAAGTATGCACCACATCCAAAAATTTATGTACATATTTAAGTTGGACCCATTACTGTCATGTTCTCACTTTTAACACACCATAAGTAAAAACTCACCCCGCTCTCCCCTACTGTAAATTGCTACTTGTTTTGGAATGAAATGGTAGTATACAACTTATATATTGTGCACTAGGCTAAATACTGTATATTTACCTAAAAACTACTAAACAGATTATTATTATTTTTTTAATATTACGTGAAACCAGTAAGTTGACAGGTAATGTTTTTAAACCTATGCATTTGTCATCAAATTTTGTGGCTGGCTGGTCAGTGAAGATCAGAAGTTGACAAGGGAAGGGGAATTTCATTAGCTATAATTTTGTTAACAGCCTACATTATACCTGTTACTGTTGTTACATTTACAGGAAAACTATTGGGTAAAGTGCCACAACCCATCCAGTGGGTAAATGATCTCAAATACCAATGAACTTTTTCTCTTTCCACTTGTGTATGTATGTAAACAGCATAGAAGACAGCACTGATTGTTTATGCCCAACAGAGTCCCGCCTCATTCAACGCTGCTGCATGTGACGTAGCGGTTCAGGTTCTGACAAAGCAAGGCTATAAAGTCTAGTGTCAGGCCTCTATGCTATGAACTTTAAAGCCTCAGCTACTGCAGATGATATTAAGGGTAGGAATTTGCTGAAGAAAATTCACTCCTTAAACATCTTGCAACTGTACACTTGTACTGCATGTATAAAAGTAAGGAAATTACAAAGTGCACATATATTAAAATGCTACTATGGTATAGGTCAGGGGTAGGCAAGTTCGGTCCTAGAGAGCCGCAGTCCTGCAGAGTTCAGCTCCAACCCTGAAAAAAAAAAACTCTGATTAGCTTGTTCAGGTGTGTCTGATTAGGGTTGGAGCTGAACTCTGCAGGACTGCGGCTCTCTAGGACCGAACTTGCCTACCCCTGGTATAGGTGCTTAAAAAGATGCACTACTGTTGCAATTACACAGGACCACTGTTTTACTGTAATTATTGCAGGTGATCTGAAGAATCCTGAGCACTTTATTTACAATGATGAGATGATGGTTGCATGACAAGACGGTCGATTAAGTGATGACATTGCAGAAGAACAGCACAAGGTGGAGCAGGCAGAGCTGGTTATCTTTCAGGTAATAGTTTCCCAGTGCTGCCCAGTTACACGTGTCAGAGTATACATTTCACTTTGATCTCAGAAAAATAATATGATTGGGATTATATTTACAGTTCCCTCTCTACTGGTTTAGTATACCTGCCATCATGAAGGGCTGGATAGACCGAGTCTTAACTCAAGGATTTGCCTTCACCCTGCAGAAGATGTATGACAACGGCATTTTTAAGGTCTGAATCTTTAGAGCCAAAGCTTGTTTTGCGTTCATTACATTGCTGATTCCAAGGAAAGATTCTGTTTTTGTAATTCTAATGGTGATCAGATTTATTTAAAATGTCATCCACTATTCACACCAGGATAAGAAGGCCATACTTTCATTTACCACTGGGGGAACGGAGTCCATGTTTCAGCCCGATGGCATCCATGGAGACTTCAACGTAGCCCTCTGGCCTTTACAGGTGAGGTAAAAATATTAAAGGTGAATTTTCAGTGTACTAGTTTCAGAACTTAAAAATTCCTTCCCAAACAGACTAGTTATTCAAATTAAGCTGCAAGAACAGCTCTTTGTGCACTTGAGTCATCATGTATTTAAGGGATCAGAGTTGAATTCCATAATAAATCCATACGGAATGTGGGTTGTCACATATTTTAGATTTTACTTTTGCTTTTGAATCAACTTTGCATGCAAGTGTTAAAAATTACAGATTAGGAAAACAAATAGGAAAGAATCAGCATGTGCACGACTGTCATTGGCTGTTGCTACGTGACTTGGATGGTACACTGCAGTGGGGGAGGGTCAACACAGGTAGATATAGATGTCAACATGACAAAAGATAGCCCATCTTGTATATAAAAATGATTACAGAAATACAAAAAAAGAATTGAGGACAGGAAACTAATTGTGTCACACAATAACAAGCGCTCTTATTGGCTGTGACTTCTTATCACTGCCGCCCCCAAATATGCTGAGCATATTTGCCCCTTAGTAGGCTTAATCAGTTTGTGAGGGCTGAGTCTTTAACAGGTACATCCTTGTCTGAGAAAGCAGGAAGTGGGATCAAACGAGCAACAGGTCAGGTGTAGATCTTATCATTAATTTGGATCTCTGCTGCTCTGATCTGGCCATCTGAACCAGGAAAGGTTTCCACAACCTTGCCCACTAGCCACAAGGCACGAGGAACCTGTGGGTCTACAAGCATCACTATCTCTCCAGTGGAAATGTTACTTTCATCAGAATGCCACTTGGAACGAGACTGTAGAGTAGGTAAATAGTTGCGGATGAAGCTTGACCAAAACTGATCAGCCAGTACCTGACTTTGCCTCCACCGCCTCCGCCCCGTGAGCTCAGTCGCTGGATAGACTACAGGGGGCAAGGAACTATCTGGCCGCCCCATGAGCAAGTAGTTAGGTGTTACAGGATCAATGTCAGCTACGTTGCTTGAGGTGTATCCTAGTGGTTTACTGTTGAGTATACCTTCCACTTCAATGAGAACTGTCAGAAGGACTTCTTCGGTCACTACTTGTGAGCCAATGGTGGTGCGCAGGTGGTTCCGCGAAAACTCGCTCTGGTCCTGGGTGGCAGAGCTTGTTATCATAGTCCTGGATCAGCAATTTAGTGCTGAAATGATGAGGATGTAGAATTATGGGGTGGATTGCTGATAACTCCAGTCCTTCTGCCCGACGCAGACGGCCACCAACTCTGATGAGCTGATGGGACTCGTCGAATTCTGGTGCAAGGGTGAGTAGCCGACTGGTTGACTGTACAGGCTTCCCAGCTTTGAGTAATCTGTACTCTTCAGGGAAACTGTCAATCTGGCATTTCTGTAGAATTAGCGATTCTGCAGCTAGATAATCTGAAGCTGATGGCTGTTCCGGTCCTTTAAGGTTCTGGACTGTGGCCTCTACTAGCTCCTTCCACGAGCTGTAGGTATCAGGTTCAGGAATGTTTGGGACAGTAACTTCTGTTGAAATGCCACAAAAAATTCCCTTGCGTTGTTCTGCTCTGTCTTCAGGGGGTTGTATAGTAGGAGTTACTCGATGAGATAGCTTTTATGAGGTTGAAAGGGTGTTGAGATCCTGAAGGAAACTGCTGTACCATGGAGCTTTGTGATGTCCTCAAGGCTAAATCATCTGACTGTCCTGTGAGGCCTAGTCTTTGAGCTGCAGATGACAGAAGGATTGTACGCTTGGAACCGTCATCGAGGACGGCATATGTGTCTAAGCTCTTACCCTTGTGTTGCAGGATCACTCTAATGACCTTGAGAAGCACTCGACTGGACCCTTCAGGCCTGTCCATATACAGGGGAGTGTTGGTAGAGCTGACAAGGCAGGTGCCTTCCTTCCCTGGCTTATCATTTACATCATGGAGGATTTGCAAGTGCTTTCTGTTGCACAAACGACATGGCTTCTTCAACGTGCACTGCACAGCTCGATGGGAGCGTCCACACTTCCAACATCTATTATTCGTCTTTATCCACTCAGTCACTTGGTCTTTGGAAAGTGCTTGGAAGGACATACACTGGCTCAGGTAGTGGTCTTTGCAGTCACAGTAAGGGTAGAAGGCGTGGCTTCTGGTTGTGCTCTTAGCTGACTGTGGCAGCACTGGTGATTATGGTTGATCTGCACCATGGAGGATGGTGATTGGTTGAGATTTCACCTTGGGATCTCTGCGGAAGTCCGTTCTCTGTCTGGCTCTGTCTCTACGAACTTTGTCTCCACCAATGCCTTCAGTGTCTTGACACCATGATTCAAACTTGAGCCACTTAGCAAAGTCAAGGAGTGTGTAAACAATACCTGGCTCGTAACTCATGTGCCTTCTGAAAGATGACCGCAGCTCTGGAGGTAGTTTGGTGAGAAGTCGAGCCACGTGAGATCCACACCGTAATTCAACCTCTCCTTCTGTGCCCAGTGTCTTCAGGAGACCTACAAGTGCCTGGATTTGGAGAGCAAAGCGTTCGAAACCTATGGTATCTCCAGATTGGATGTCCAGAGAGTCCATTACAGCAGCTATTCTATTTAGAGCGAGTTGGTGAGGTCACCCGAACCTCTCAGTGAGTGCCGCCATAGTGTCTGAATATGGAGTAATGGAGTTCAAGAACGAATCGGCTATCAAGCGGGCTTCCATTAACTTCAAGTGGTCAACTAGAACCTGGTACTTAAAGAGTTCAGTTGCATCCCCTGGCAACAGATTTCCCAAAGCTAGCTTAAGGCGGGCGAATTCACCTGGGTCTCGGCTGGTAAAGTTCGGTATTGTTGGCTGCGGACCTCTGTACGTTGTCTCCTGTCTAGTCACATTCTTCTGCCACCCAGGTTGGTTTGCTGGTAACCCATAGGGCTGGATGGAATAGTGTGAAGTAGGCATGGAGGGGGTAGGGGCTGACCTGTCCATCTCTGTCTGCTGTCGACCCAGGTAATGTCTGTAGGGGTCAGGCAAGCTTGAAGGAACATGGGCTGATACTCTCCCAATAGCAGGGAAGTCATCGTAATGACGTCGAACTGGAGGAGGAGCATGTCGTGCATCATCATCTGTATCATAAGGGTTTGTACTCTTTGGAGTGGGAAATCTGCGTGGTGCTGGTACTGGTTGAGCACGTGGTGCTAGTTTTGGCAAAGGTGTTTCTGACTCTCTGAAAATAGTTCTAGGTGAGGGCACCGGAGGTGTTGGGGATACGTGCTGTTGTTTGGGAGTAGGAGATGACCTCTGACTTGACTGGCACCTCATTAACATGTCTTGCATACCTTGTTGGATTTCTGTCAGTCGTCTGATCTCCTCTCTCATTGATAATTGCGATTGACGAAGCTCTCTATTCTCTTTTTCAAGGTCATGCACTGTCTTGTGAGGATCCAGAGGTAAGGAATGGGTATATTCATCTTGTTCACTCCACTGGTCTCTAATAAGGTACCATGGCTCTGTTTGTGGACCTGTTACCTCTAAAGAATCATGTGTTCCCCCTTCGGCTCCCTCTTCTGTGCTGTAATCTCTGGAACCTTGCAGACCAGCACCTGTCATGTCACCTGGCTGGTAAACTTCTTGCCCACGTGTCTGCTGTGCTGTCTGTGTGAAAGGTACAGTAACTTGAGGTTTCCCTGGATACTGAACTTCAAAATCTTGGAGATATGTTGGCGGGCGAACTGAACGTTTAGGCCGTGCACCTTGATATTCTAGAGGTTCTGACATTTTGAGTCCAGTGTAAACACTCATCCAGCTCGAAGGACCAAATGTGGAAAAGGATTATTTAGAATTGCATGTGCACTAGTTCAAGTGGCTCGTGGAAAGGTACTGAGGGTTATCGCTCTTCTCTGTCATATCTATTTCATTTCTTTAATTATATTGGCTGTAGAAAAGGATTATTTAGAATTGAATGTGCATCAGTTCAAGTGGGTTTGTGTTCGCACTGGTGTGTCGGTAAGGACACCGGAGGCAGGATTCAGTTCCTGTGATTGAGAATTAACAGCAATTGACAGCACAGTCAGACAAACAGGGCATTTCTTGTTTAGGCACAGGTTGTGGACATTTGTATAGATGTGGTAAAATAAATGTCCACCTTATGGAAAATTATCGTTCTTGTTCAGCCTCAGAACACTTGATGCTCCCTTCTCTTCAGTGAGCGATCATTGACTGACGTCACACAATAACAAGCGCTCTTATTGGCTGTGACTTCTTATCACTAATGGTTTAGTAAAGTCCTATCTGGAAAGGATATTCTCTATAATAAAAAAACAAATAGTTTGATTCTAGGAACAGATGCTCTGTCGAGCTCATGAAAAGTGATCTACTTTGCATTTTAAATTTTATTGTAGAATATTTTTAATTAAAATAATTTAATTTAATTTAAATGTTTAAATTATAATTTAAAACACTAAGAAGAACACTGGGACTCATTTACTATTAATTGCATAAATTATTTGTATTTATACGCAAAAAATTCCACCTAATTCACAAGACACGCATACAAAAATTCAAAATGTGTGAACACATGCTTAAGATGTATAAAACATATATAAAACATGCCCATATAAGGGCTTTCTGCACAAGCTTTCCTTTATCTTTTGTCACTCTTAGCAAAATATCTATGTACCCTATAAAATTTTAGTACAAAAGTTACTGATGAATCATGATTCGTTCATGAAAGTACGCAGGTTTTAAATACACATTTGTGCATATGTACGGTTAGTGAATGAGCCCCAGTGGGCCTGTTCCTCATCATTTCTGTCGTCTCAATTCTCTAGAGCTGTAATTAGCCTAGGCAAGAATTGTGAGAAACTCAGAATTGCGCAATTCTGAGTTTGCATCTCAGAATTCTGAATTTATATCTTGCAATTCTGACTTACAGTATTTTCTGTGAATTCAGTTTTTTTTCTGCTATGGAATAAAAAATAAAAGAAGGGATTTGTGACTTTTTTCTCACAATTGACTGTTTATATCTCACAGTTAAGCATTTGTATATCGTAATTCTCAGAATTGCAAGAAAAAAGTCAGAATTGTGTGATATATTATATTAGATATAAATATATTAGAAACAAGCAGCCGAAGTTTGTTTTTAAAAATGTCTCTAAAATTTCAGTCCGATTTTAACAGTATGAGCAGCAACGTAGCATGAATTGTGTGAATCAGTCAAAAATGACGCACTATACTGTACACTATATGCACTTATACACTATGTACTTAACTGTGTAGTGAATGCATTTTATAAGGTTATTCTGTCATTCATCATCGGAGTCTGATAGCCCCTCCCCTTCCACTATGTAACTAAAGCTCTGATAGTTGAGTGCATGAAGCATCCAACATTAGGCCTACACACTTTGTTTTCTCAGTTAATTAAGTGCATCATCCGGATATTTAAACTCCACTTTTGCTTTTTTTGAATTTTCAATGTAAACGCACTACTTGCACTTTTTCTACTACAAAATGCCATAATATAGTGCATAAGTATGCAAATTGGGATGCACCTAATGTACTTTACAATGATGTAGCAAATGTATATGATATGACATCTTTGAGAAATACAATTTTTAACTGTTATTAATAAAACTTATACCAGTTGAAATGTCGATTACAAACTAATTATGTGTTTTTATTACATACAGAATGGAGTGCTGCGTTTTTGCGGGTTTCAGGTCCTTGCCCCCAGATCTTCTGGTGTCCAGCACTCACCTCCAGATGTGAGAAATGCCATGTTAGACGCATGGCAGGAAAGACTGAATGGTGTATTTGCCGAAAAGCCTGTCATTTGCTCCGACCAAATACTTTGACCTTACTTTCCAAGGATGATTTAGTCTTCGGCCAGAGGTGAAAGAGAAGTATGCCTCTGAGTCCCATGGCATTACCACAGCACAACATTTAGGCAAACCGCTCCCTCCAGACAACCAGACCAAAGCTAAATAAAGCTAAAGGATCCAGTCACATGAGATAATCATTCAAGGAATTTTTAGCAGAATGAAGGAGATTTAGGTATGCTTAAGATTAGATAATTCCAATTATAACATCATCAGCATGTAATTTATGACATGTAACCACATACCAGCAATAAATGTGAAACAAATGAATGTGCCTATTTAAACTCTTAATAAATCTCAAATTTTTACTGATGTCATCTGTTGTTTTACTCATGTTCAAGATGCATTTTCAGATTTTGATTATAATCAAAATACAAAAAATAAATATATGAAACTATTACTTTGTTTTGGATGTTTTCCTTTGTTCATCTCAATCTCAGTGGCTTTTTTTGTAAATTATTATTTATTCTTTGTATAAATAAATGTCTTTTTAAATAATTGAAATAGCAGCTGTTGGGTAAACAAGTGAACACTACGGAAACACACTGAGATACTATAGATTCAAGCTAAACTCAAATATTAAAATGAAGGTACATCTTAACTGAAAGATTGAACTGTTCCTAGGATAGAGATGGTCACATATGCTGTAATTTCAAACAATTCTTTAATTACAAGTTATGCTGTTTTTTAAAGACGTTTCTTGAATTCTTTGTGTTTTATTATTGTATGAAATAACTTTAGATAGTAGCCTATTTCGCAAATCATAAAGGGTAGGCTATTTTAAAATCAGTGACAACGTTTGTGTTTTAGCTGTATCTTTCTTCTTGGGCAATAATTGTTGGAATGTTCAACAGCTTTAAGTTTATGTATCTACAGAGAAGCTGACTGTAAAAAATAAAACTAGCTATTGTGAGAAACATTTACAGGAATTAGACTCCCTTACGTCCTTACGCACAGTCGCACACTGACAGCAAAGCGTCGCGACGTGAACAGGTCATTCAGATGCGCCAGCGCGTCATTTGCTGCAACGCAATCCCAGCCATCCCGAACTCCCAGTATCCCCGGCGTCATGTACCGTTATTCCTCCATATCAGCCGTCTGACCTACTGAACAGAAGTTGAAGAACTGCTGCTGATATTATGGACGGAATTCCAACATGAACTGAAGTTAATTTATTTGATAAGAAGCGCTGCGTGGTATGTGTTGCGTCTTTTATTGCTTTATTAGTTAAAAATGGCTCATTCGTGGTGAATCGGCAGTGTATTGTCAAGAGCTGTTGATGTCATGCATCTATTATGCACTGACATAATTTTCTTTAAAAATAGCCTCACTTTATTCTTTTTCAAATTAACCAGAAATAGGAATCATACTGGAATTTCCATACCGAGGTGGATTTTATTGTTATTTTTTCCAATGTGCTTAAAACGAGACCTTTTAAAACACATATTTCCCAGTAGATCTATTATAATTGCTAACGGGATAAATGCCCTTTTATGACATCAAAATAAATGTAAAAAAATGTAGATTTTTTTTTAATGTATATCATAATTTCATAATTTTTAAATGCATAAAGTTCTATGTATAATTTACTTTTATTGTCCAATAGCAAGACCGTAGCCCAATAGTAGATATGATAAAGATGGTACCGTATCCAATCTGACTTTTTATATTAGGAATGAAAGACTCCTCAAAGAATCCTACTATATAAAGTGCAATTCACGCAGTAGGATTCTTTGAGGATTCCTTCAGGATGTAAGGTTTTAAACCGATCACTATTTTTTGTACAAATTTTTACTGAACATTTTGCATTTACTATACTATTTACTATGTATTTTAAAAGCCCCTGCTGTATGACAGATGCATTTCTAAAAGTACAAATATTCACATGTAGTCTCTAAATTAATATGAGGTTATAAATCTGCATACATAATAATTAGAAGAATCAACCAAATTCTATATAATTTAAATTCATTTTCATTCATTCATTCATTTTGGAGTATAGCAAGATGTGCCACAGCTTTTCAAAAGTATTTTGAGTCAATTCTAAATTATTTGTTTGCATAAAGAGTTTTGAATCCTTATATTTAAAATCATTTTACGCATACTGTTTTTATGTATCGTTGAATCAGGAAATGGAGGAATGTTTTTCTCTTCAGGTGTGCAGCATTTGTGGACAGTGGTGTGGATGTAGCAATGGTGCTGGATCTAAGTGAAAACTGCATGGAGCAGGCTAATGGAGGAGGGCTCGCAAAGAATGTCTCAGAAATGTTAGAACCAGAGCCCAGCACAGAGAAACCCAAACCTGTCAGAGCCAGGACCAGCAGTATCACCCAAAAAGACAAATCGACCCACAATGGGCCTCATGCGCAGCCTTGTACCACTTGGGATGGCTGCTCCCAAGTTCAGCGACGGCTCCAGAAGACGGAAAGTAGAAATAAAGATGAAGCTGCGCAGCCAAGGGAACCTTCCAAACCCCCACCTTATCGAAGGCCACTTAGTCTGGAAATAAAACCACAGCGAATTAGAGCAACGCAGCCAGTGCAGAAGGTGATACAGCCACCGTGGCGTAGTGGTGGCTCTTCTCCACCCATGCGAAGCCTGACAAGCCTTAGTTTGGGGCCAGGAAACTGGCTTCGCCGGAGTGAGAGCACATGCACAATGAACTCCACGACAGCCCAACGTGCTGGCAGGGGTCAAATGAGGCCTGCAACCTCCTTGCCATATATTGCCAGGGGTATGGCACCACTTCCTTCGCCTTCAACACCTCGTGGGCCATGTCTGCTTGTGGCTCTTCGTCCCATAAACCTGGAACAGGAGCGTCAGACCTTTTTTCAGTCTAACTATCAGTATGAGCCCCAGTTTGAGTATGCCTCCCCAGAGCCCATCAGTGTTTTGGAGAAGTACAGAGAGGGCTCCAGTCTCTTTCTGTCCCAGGTAGGTTTTATGTTGAAAATACACAAATTCGGTGTGTTCCAAAGTCCAGTGAACCGCCTTACTGTTAACAGTCTCCGTAAGCAACCGCCTTCTAAATGTGCAGTGACATTTACGCTGTTCTGTGAATTTTCACTAAAAATCCTGTCATTTCAATTAGGAAACGTGAGTGGGGATTTTATGTGAGGGATTTTGTATTGCAGATTCGCCACGTTGACCAACAGAAAGCAGCTTGGTTTGAAAGTGACTTCTGTGTGAGCAGTGCTTCATACATCTCTACACTATTGACAATAGACAATAGACCTTTTTTGCCCACTAATTTTTGCAGAAGTTTCAATAATGTGACTGCACCTTAATGGAAATAGAAACCTCATAAGTTACTGATTTGGAACACTCTATGTAGGGAGCAACTCTGTGTGCCATTTAAATAGCGCATGAAAGATTCCATTTACAGTTGATTTCTGTAGAGTTTAACGTTGGCACGTTGCTAAGCTAATGATTCAGTATTCTAATAAGTTTGAAATTATACAAGTAAAATACTGACTTTTTAATTAGTTTGATATTTTCAGTTTGAAATGAAATCGGTATCTTTATAATCAACATTTCAATATCCATTTTAGTCAGCTTGTCATTCTGGGATTGCCTTCCCTGCAAAAGAAACATACAGTGCTTCCTTAGGTTTTGAATAAAACAGGGTAGCTTAGAAGTATGCATAATATGCTGTCTATTTGCTTTACGTTGGGAGCAAAGTTATGGTGGCTTAAAATGTTGCTTACGCTGACAGCTTGCTAGGTTTGAGAATCAGTGTTATTTCAGAATCATTGAGACACTATTATAGTTTTATTAATATATTGAATTAGTTTTTATTTTTACATTTTTCATTTTCATTTTAAAGTTTTAGTAATTTTGATGTGTGGTTTTGTAATTTTTATTAGTTTTTTAATATGTCTATATAGTTTTTATTATTTTTTATTTCAGTATTTGTTATTTTAGTACTTAAAGTTAAACTAAATGAAATGCTTGCTTAGCAACCAGCTGAAATAAAGTAAGTTTGCTTTTTCAAAATATTTTATTCCAGTTAATGTCTATTTATTTAAAGTAACAAATATATGGTTTTATTATTTTTTTTGTTTTAATTTTAATTCACTAGAATACGCCTGTTTGGAACACAGCCATAGTGTTGTTTAAGTCCTGAAACTATTGCCATTTGTCTCACCTCATGCCTTTTTCTAGGCAGTTGGGATTATGGAGTGTGTGTTGAGGAAGTATGAGACCTATGAAAACTTTGAAGAAGTCACAGGGGGCAGCTTGCTACCGAAGAGTCAAGTGTGGGCAGCCTCACGCAAGTACCTACAGAAGGAGGGCTGTGTCGGTGAGGTGTGTGGATATCGGAGTTTAAGTGTCGGGGCATTAGTGTTTTGCCAAATAACAAAGGAATAGTAATTTCAAATTCTGTCACCAGGTGGTTGTAAGTCTCTCTGATGAGCTTCTGTCCCAGGCAGTAATGATGGTGGAGAGATGTCGACCAACACTAACTATTAACTTGTCAGGAGCACGGCAACATTGGCTTGAGGGCATGCTTAGACATGAGATTGGTATGAACTTTAACACACTTCAAACTATAAATTAAACACTAATACTAAACAGATTTGTAAATATTTTGTCCAGACTGTGACAAGTAACAAACAACAGGGCATTTTTTTTCAGTCATTTCATTCGTATTGCTGTTGTGTAGTACTAGGTAGCCCTGCATATAGTAAAATCTATTTGGTACAAAATGCTGCTTGACATAATGCAGTGCTGTTGTGATGATGTTTTTCTGTAGGCCAGCCCAGATGTTTGCATCACCCTGTTTTCCTTGACAAAAATCCAATAGGATTTTCCACTGGCTTTTGGATTATGGCAGAAAATAAGCTCTGTGACCAACAAAAGTTTATGATTCGTACACGTTAAACGCTAAATGTAGGCAATAAACAAACTATATCACTGTTGCAAGACTTCAACGTCACCACCATTAAGCTTCTGAAAACTCTAAGTCTTTATTTAAAACACATCTTCCCTCAAAGTATGAGTTGGCAAGAATGTGATTATAAATAGGAGGCTGTGAAACTAGTGAGTAGTTGAGCTTTCCTGTTTAGCAAGATGTCGTTTAATGTCCCCGACAACTTCTGTAGTCCCATTTTAGATACTAGTAAGCAACTACCATATTCAAGACAAGTAAAGGCTTAAAAAAATCTCAAAGGGTGTATTACTGATGTATTTTATGTCATAGAATAAAATGTAAAAAAAGAGCTTGTGTTAACCACAGACCTTTCATTTAGCCAAAAATGCATTAAAAAAACATTGATTGTAGGATGATGGATTTTCGTGTTCTGGCCTGCAAAAATATGTCACCTGCAGAACTCTAGATTGTATATTAAATATAATTTATGTTCTGATTGGCTGTTATTGTGTCACATTATGTAGCATTTTTGCATTTGGTCTAGGCGGGCAAAGCACTTGATTTTGCTGGGTCACAGCTGGTTACGACATTGATCTTGCTATACAAGAAATATTGTATTGACATCCTTCTGGTTGAATCTAGTTGATAACTGACCATTCTTGATGTTAATTGTATAGTCTTTTGTCTGCAAAACCTGCCCTTCCAGCAATTTTATGACTTTCACTCCCAGGCACACATTACTTACGGGGTGTGAATAACAGCATGCAGCCATGGGCCACTTCTGTTGGGAGAAAGCAGTTTGGACTGAAACCAGCTAATCCTACTGAAGAGGGGCTTGCTAGTCTTCACAGTGTGTTGCTACGGAAACAGCCCTTCCTGTGGCGAGCCGCTCTGCTATACTATACTGTATACCATGCCACAAACATGAGCTTCAGCCAACTGTTCAGCCATATTGCTCACTTTGTCCAAGATCCTGCTGTACGTTGGGAATACTGTCTCCGCGCCAAACGAGGACAGACAGATACCTCGAAACCAGGTGAACTAATCATTAAGAATAGAACTGAGAAATATTTTTAATATGTGATGTCATTTTATGTTGACTTGAGAAAGCCAACATTCTCATCTATCCATCTATCTATCTATCTATCTATCTATCTATCTATCTATCACAGTGTGTTGCTACGGAAACAGCCCTTCCTGTGGCGAGCCGCTCTGCTATACTATACTGTATACCATGCCACAAACATGAGCTTCAGCCAACTGTTCAGCCATATTGCTCACTTTGTCCAAGATCCTGCTGTACGTTGGGAATACTGTCTCCGCGCCAAACGAGGACAGACAGATACCTCGAAACCAGGTGAACTAATCATTAAGAATAGAACTGAGAAATATTTTTAATATGTGATGTCATTTTATGTTGACTTGAGAAAGCCAACATTCTCATCTATCCATCTATCTATCTATCTATCTATCTATCTATCTATCTATCTATCCATCCATCCATCCATCCATCCATCCATAAAACTTTTTCAGGCTTAAATCCTTCAAGATATTAAATATACTTCAAACATTCTGGCCAGGATTTCTCAAGCCAACATCATTGTTTGTCTTGTCAAACTTTATTATCTAGTTTTATATTGGCTCTCTGTATATGTACTGTACATACAGTACAGTATGTGCAATAACCTTATACTTATTTATCACCCTAAACCCTAGTACATCCCTACAACTTATTTTATTTATTCTATTCCTATTCCATCTATAGCACACCTGTACATACAATTTATTCTTTTTTTTTTGTGGTTTATATTTATGCATGTGTATTTTATTCACATCTCATTTTTATTATCTGTGTGTTGTTGTTGTCTCCGTGTACTGGAAGCTTGTGACACTATAACAAATTCCTTGTATGTGCAAACATACTTGGCAATAAAGCTCTTTCTGATTCTGATTCTGATGTAGTATATATGTTTTTGCATATGTGTGTTTGTGTGTACAGGTTGCTTCAGTAAAGATCAGGTCTACCTTGTCCTATGAAGATGTGGACAGACTTCGGCATTTGGCTGTTCTAAATGGAACTAGGATTCCTCACTTCATGCAGGATGAAGATCGTTATCTTCAACACCTCGACCACATTGTCGCAGTGAATGAACTGAGCGATGCAGAGCTTCAAGAGCTCATTCCATGAAGAGTTGCAAAAAAATATCAAAACCATTCTTTTCTTTTTCTTTTTTCCCCCAGGCCAGAAAATTGGGATTTTTCAAACATCTGATTGATATAATTTGGATGGTTTTTCATGAAAACGTGATCCTTGATAATCATCCATAGAAAGAATTACGTACAGCATGGTTGTGTCCAATGATTGTTGTAGTACTTTGCTACATTAATTGCCATATTACTCAGTAAGTCTGTTTACAAAAACAATGATTGTCTGTTTTAAAACCATATGACTCTCAGGCATGAAAGACATGTTTGGATTCTTGCAAACTTAAGGTATGTTCGGAATGGCATACTACCATACTCGTGCAATTTTTTTAGTATACTGTGTGCACTATGCAAATTTTATGAATACATAAATGATGTAGTACATTATGCCAAAGTGTGCAGTACTGTAATGCAGTGGGCTTGACTTAACCTTCTGTTTCCAGTATTATGACCGAACCAAAAGATTTCTCGCCTTGATTCATTAGCTGATTAGACTGAACAAAATAAGATATAAATGCTAAATAGTTGTAATTATTTCAGAGTTGACAATTGGATGTCACGTGTTGATTTAAACATGCATCGTAAGACAACAGAAAATTGCCTTGCATACTGTTTTTAATTAACTACATTGTATGCAGTATCTAGTATTCCATTCCGAACACCACCATACTCATGAGAAGCTGAAAGATGGTCTTGTAGCATTTTAACTGCACTCATAATGTAATGGGCACATCCCAACATGCTAGGTATTGATATCTCACACAAGGCAGAACTATGTGAGCACTAAATCAAATGATTTACCCTGACAGTATTTATATGAGAATTCACACGTGAACTTATGAGCACTTCATTTAGTTTCCTGTTAGGTTCTTCTATTAGTTTTTCAGTTTCTCTATTTATTTATTGTTTACCTCTTGTAGTCATGTTAAACACTGATTGTCTGTGGTATTAGCTTTATACACAAGTAGCAAACGCATTTTTTTTCTTCAACTTAGTATAGCAAGCAATGCAAAAAGACACCAAGGCTGACTCATTTCAACAAAACATTCATTGAGAACCTTATGAAAAAGAAAATTACACTAATGAAAAAACTGCCCCCTTTGACACAATTTTTCCTCATCAGGGCTTATGAAATGCTAGTATTCTATCTAGAGATAATCAGTGTTCTTCTGAGGGCACCCTTGGTGGTCTTTATTACCTGTGCTAATGTGATGCAACACCTTTGTAGGAGAGTTGCCACTGCAACCTCTGCTTTTCGTACTTGTTTAAAAGCAGTCCAGCTGGCCAGCTTCCTCACTGTGCATATTAAAATTGTGACGGACTCAGGAAGAAAAAAAAAAAAGGTCATGTGGATGTGCCTTATATGGGTTCCAAACTCATGCGTCATGCCATTAGCTACATGTTATATGCTTGAAATCACATATACATTTGTATTTATTATCATTGTCAGTACTGCACGAAAATTGCACACTTCACGATAAGTTGCTGTTATCTTATTAAAACTGTACACTGAAGTCCCTAGAATCATTGTCTTGAGTGATGAATTTCAAAAAAGAAATATTAGAGTGGAGCGCAATGTGTCGTAATTAAACAGTTCACCTAAATATGAATTTGCTGAAAAGTTTCTCACTCTTAGGCCATCTAAGATGTAGCTGTCTTTGTTTCTTCATCAGAAGAGATTTGGAGAAATGTAACATTACAGCACTTGCTCAGTGGATCTTCTTGCATTGAATGGGTGCCGTCAGAATGAGTTTTCCAACAGCTGATAAAAACATCACAATAACCCACATGACTCCAGTCCATTAATTAACATGCTGTGAAGTAAAAAGCTGCTTGTTTGTACGAAACAAAACCATCAAAACCGTTTAAACTTCAAACCATTGCCTCTGACTAAAATACAAGTCCTATATCCATAATGCTTTTTTTTTCCAGTGAAAAAGTCATCTCATCTGAATCAGGAGAGAAATATGCAGAGATAAAGCACCATTTACAAGCGAAAACAGTTTAAACAAGTTCTAATATAACAGTTCAAATATATTGGTGGACTATGATGTGGATTGTATTTATTACAAACACGGAGCTTTTCACTTCACAAGATTGTAATTGATGGACGAATCATGTGGATTATGTGATGTATTTCTTTTACTTTTATCAGCCGTTTAAACTTTCATTCTGACAGCATAGGATCCAATGACTAGCAAGTGATGTCAAGTTAAGTTTCTCCAAACATGTTCTGTTGAAGAAACAAACGCATCAGCAAATTTTAATCTTTGGGTGAACTATTCCTTTAAATTGTCACTGTATATGAATACATTTTATGTATGAATTATTAACAATATATATTAATATTTCTTTTCATTAAATTGACAAATTCATATCAATAACAAAGTAATTCATAATACAAATATATTTGCCTTTCACAATCATTCACAGCTGATTATCACACTGAAAATGGTGGGGGGAAAAACACATGAGACCGATTAAAAACAGTTTCATTTAATATATCTTACTTTCAATAAATTGCAGTAAAGCCTCCATACCTGACAATACTATAGTTTATAATCTGAGCTCATATCAGCAGGGCAAGTCACTGAACAACACAATCTTCCAGTACATAATGCAACCAGGATCGGGAGCCCCCATCAGTCATCAACAGCCTGAGAATCATGGGGAAAGAGCAGGCATTCTTTCCCAGCCATAATATCATAGCTTAATTCAGTGTCGTTCCAAAAATGAAATGGAGATGTCCAACTCAAAAGGGGGGAGATGGGGGGAAAAACACCGGTTTGGTACCTAGATAACGATGGCAAGCAGCACTAATACAAAGTGAATGTAGGAGAGGGACTACAGCCCATTGTGTTCATTCTGTACAAGTCTTGTGTTGCTTAATAACTTCTTGCTCCAGTAAACTGAAGCTTCACACCTGAAAGGCAGCATGTCTCTGCACGACATGTTGAGGTAAAAAGGTTTTCCTAGAAGAAAGATTCAAAAAGCAATTAATGAAATGATTAAAAAGAGCATTTTAGATTAATCAAAAATACAGCGTACTGACTGTATGTGACCTCCTGTACCTGCTTTTAGCCCATCATGTTGTGGTTGAGCTGCTTATTGCCAGAGCGCCTTCTGAGTTTGACAGAGGCTGTCCCTTCAGCACAGGATCTACAGAGGAATGTCAGACGCCATGTCATATGATTTCACTTAGAATGGGATGTACTTTACCAGTCAAAAATTTTGAATAATTACGTTTTTTTTTTTTTCTTTTTGAAAGAAGTCTCTTATGCTCACCAAGGTTTTTTTTTTTTATTTGATCAAAAATACAGTAAAAACGGTAATATTGTGATATATTTTTTAAAAATTTTAAATAACTTTTCTATTTGATTATATTTTCAAATGTTATTTATTCCTCTGATGCAAAGCTGAATTTTTATCAGCCATTACTCCAGTCTTCAGTGTCACATGATCCTTCAGAAATCATTCTAATATGCCGATTTGCTGCTCAATTATTAATACTGGTTATTATTACAAGTGTCGATACCTTTTTTTCTTAATATTTTGTGGAAACCGTGATTGATAAATAGAAATTTTATTTGAAATAGAACAGCATTTATTTGAAATAGAAACTGAAATAGAAATCTTTCGGGATATGATTCATAAAATGTCTTTACTGCCACTTTTGATCATTTTAATGTTACTTACCCCAAACCTTCGAATGGTAGTCTATCACAGTTATCGCAGTCCACAACAACATTAAGCAGCAAAAACTGTTTTCGGTATTGGTAATAATAAAAAAATGTTCCTTCAGCACCAAAGCAGCATATTACAGTGATTTCAGAAGGATAATGTGACACTGAAGACTAGAGTAATGGCTGCCGAAAATTCAGCTTTATAAACTACATCTCAAAATATATTCAAGTAATTATATTAAAGAAGAAAATGGTTCTTTTAAATTGAATTATATTTCACCATATTATTGATTTTACTGTATTTTTGAACAAATGAATGCAGTCTTAGTAAGACTTCTTTCAAAACCATTCAAAAAATATTCATATTGGACTGGTAGTGTATATTATAATAAACAATAACTTGAGAAATCAATCAATCAAAGCAGATAAGGAAAGCTGGCTCACAAAAGTAGGGGTGTTCCGTGGCCTCTTGGGCAGTCAGTCTCTGTTGATGATCGTAACGCAGGAGTTTATCCAGCAAATCCAGAGCTTCTGGGCTCACCAAGTGCTGATTCTCTGGCTGAACAAAGTTCTCCCAGCGCTTACGTGTCTGCCTGAAGATGATTGCAACTTCAAGATTAAAACACTAGCAATTTAAAATCAATATGCAGAATTCATTTGCTCACTACTACTGGAAATCCACTATATAGCGATGTGTATATCGTCTGCCAATATGGCCTTAGTAGATAGTATCAGGGATTTTCTTTTTTTTTTCAGTTTCAAAAGCATTAAACATTTTTATGTTTTTATTTTGTTCTGTAGATCTAAAGATGAGAATAAGATTGTCTCAAAAAAAAAAATATCACCGATTACTCATCATAACAAAATTATTGGTTAACAGAAATCAAAATTCTTTATGTGCATCACTAACAACTTTGTACAAAGATCCTTAAAAACTGACCAATGTGAAAATCACTGTCAATAAATTCGCAGACTCACTGGCCAAGCAGATCTTTGAAACGTGTGTCCAGCTCAATGTGATACTTGTTCAGGTAGCTGAATAGCTCTTCTGTTCCAAGAACCTTGGCAATTCTGACCAACTGTGGGAAAGATTCTGCTGTTAGCATATTAAGTATTTTAAGACTACATATTGTAAAAAGGTTCATAGAAGAATGACAAGTCATACCTGGTCATAGTTGTCTTGACCATGGAAAAATGGCTCTTTCTGGAAGATCATACTGGCTAACATACAGCCTAAGCTCCACATGTCCAAACTGTAGTCATACATCTGCAAATTATTTAGGAATTATTTATTTAGCAAATTATTTATTAATTATTTAAAGTGAGTGAGTGAAGTGACGTGTGGCCGAGTATGGTGACCCATATTCGGAATTTGTGCTCTGCTCTCTAACCATTAGGCCACGACTGCCACTATTATTATTATTATTATTTAACTGCAACGTCTGATGGTAATGTGGGAATAAGTTACTCTGTGTGCAACTGGTTCCTGAAATCTGTTATTATCGGTTCAATAAAAAAAATTTGGATGGCAATGGTTTCTCATGGGAACGTCTATAAAAAGAAATCTGCATGGCACCTCAGTGATAAAACTCCAAAATATGGTATTTTATCTAGCTGCATTTTCTCAGTGCAACTTATAAAATCCAAGTGAAAGATCTAACATCAACATGTCATAAAAAAAATAAAAAACAGAATCATCGAGTTGGAAAAGGAACACCCCCTTGTGTCAGTATTTTGTTGAACCACCTTTTGCTTTAATTACAGCCGTTATCTGTTGGGATATGTCTCTACTAACTTTGCACATCTAGACTTTGCAATATTTGCCCACTCTTCTTTGCAGAACTGCTTAAGTTCAGTTAAATTTGATGGTGACCGTTTATAGACTTTAGTCTGCAAGTCATTCCACAGATTTTCAGTGGGGTTTAAGTCTGGGCTCTGACTAAGCCATGCAAGGGCATTCACCTTTTTCTCCTTCAACCACTGTGTGGTCAGTTTTTCTGTGTGCTTTGGGTCATTGTCATGTTGGAAGGTAAACCTTCTTCCCACTGACAACTTTCTGGCAGAGGGCAGCAGATTTTCCTCAAGAATTTGACAGTATTTTGCCCCATCCATTTTTCCTTCTATCCTGACAAGTGCTCCAGTCCATGCTGCAGAGAAACAGCCCCATAACAGGATATTACCACCTCATGCTTTACTGTAGGAATGCTGTTATTTGGATCATGAGCTGTACTGGACTTCCACCAGACAAATCGTTTGGTGTTGAGGCCAAATAATTCAGTTTTAGTGAATCTTCAAGGTGTGTTTTGGCAAAGCTCAGTCATGACTGCATGTGGCCTTTCTTGAGGAGTGGCTTTTTTTCTTGCAATCCTCCCATACAAGCCACCTTTGTGGAGAATTTGTGATATTGTTGTCACATGCACACAATGACCACTCTTTGTCATAAATTCCTGCAACTGCTTCAGAGTTGCTGTAGGCCTCTTAGTAGCCTCTCTGACCAGTTTCCTCCTGGCTCTTTCTTCCAGTTTGGAGCGACGTCCTGATCCAGGGAGGGTCTGTGTTGTACGAAATACCATCCACTTCTTAATAATAGACTTCACTGTGCTTGGGGGAAGTCGTGGCCTAATGGTAAGAGAGTCGGGCCTGTAACCTAAAGGTTGCGAGCATAAATGGCTGCCCACTGCTCCGGGTGTGTGTTCACGGTGTGTGTGTGTTCGCTGTGTGTGTGCACTTTGGATGGGATAAATGCAGAACACTAATTCAGAGTATGGGTCACCATACTTGGCCACATGTCACGTCACTTTCACTTTTCTAGAAATGTAATGTGTCCACAACTTTATCCTGGAGATCTTTTGACAGTGCCTTGCCACCCATAGTGGATTGTTTGCTTCAGTTTATCAGTAATTTTTAGGAGGGGGGTGATCCTTTTTCCAATTCAGTGATTCTGTTTTTTTTATTTTTTTCTGACATGTTGGTGTTATATCTTTCACTTGGAT